CCCCCGCAGCGCATCCTAATACCACATTTGCTCAATACGTTTTAGCCCTATAAATGAATGAATGCATTAAAACATTAGCTCAATACGTAGCCTTTTTAACGGATTCATAAGGCCTAATATATTCACTCAAAACCCAGGACCATAAACGAAGCCAATAAAAGTTTCACCGAATAGTTTTCTTTTTTTTTTTTCACCCCATTTTTGGTGAAAAAGCAATTAAACCCTAGCGCACTTTTTAACCCTCCGTACGTCCTGCATGGGGTAATTTTATTCATCCGGGGTCGTATTCTTCACATTTTAGAATACTTCTATATCTAGATCTAGTATCTCTTTGAAACTTTCAATACTTCTCAAAAGAAAATTTTTGGCAGACTGCTATGCAAAGCGTACTGATCAGATTAACGAGTAAATTTTCTCTTTGGAAAGTGGTGCAGAGTTCCCACCGTCGTATGGATACGAACGTAAAACACCGACGTACGGTTAGGGTTTAAACAACAACATAAAGAACATACAGCTTGCACATAAATTTGCAACAATTACGGAAGCGCTCACGCGATTAAGTATCCCCATTATAGCCTCATGAATAAATAACATCATTATAAAATGTCCTATCTTTAAACAATAGCCTATTTTTATCATTCATAGACACGTCGACAGATTTGACGACAACCCATGATGAATCACAAACCTTTACAAAAATAGAGCTCTTTGTCAATTTTTTCCTAATTCGTGTACACTGAAAAATGAAAAATAATAAAACAGTCGACTTAATGATAATTAAATATTATTATTCGGGTGAAAGAGTGAGGCTGAGGACCATGATATTTTGGTATCGAAATACCAACAACACTATCGAGTTGACGTCACTATTTCTCAGGTTTATCGCCCTTGTCTCCAACTGACTGAGTCTTTTTTTATAGTTCAAAGGTCACCGTCTCGGCACAGTGGCACACACGGTAGGCCTAAGTACACAGTGAGTACACACACCCAGCACGCTCCGCCGGACTCATGATAATCAATGATGGGGAACTGTCGCGGTATTCTCTGAACCCGGACTTCTCTGCGGAATAAAAACATCCGTATCATGAGCTCAAGCTGTTGTTTTGTCGATGCTACGCATAAATGTGGTGAAGGGGATGATAGATATTTCCTCTGAAGTTATCTTTGATTCACCAGTGCAGCCAGTGCAGATCTGATTGAGAATACACACAAGCCGAGCGAGCTCTCCGTCGGCGACAGTGCCGACAGTATCAGTTTGTTCAAATCGATCATCAGTTTCCACGCCGGGTATTTATTTAGAACGCTTGACAACGGTTTCCTTTTCACTGGAAATTTGACATCAAGAATTTTGTTGAGGTTCCCGATTTCGTACTTCGTGACCCCATCGCCGAGTCAGTCTACGAGTCCTAGTCGGCCAAGAGACTAGTCTAGATTTTCGCCAAATCGGACTAGATTCTATTCTAGATTCTAGTGAAAAGAAACTGATAGCCTAGCTAGATCTAGCGCTGAAAAGAAAACAATTCAGAGTAAATTGATAAGTACCTGCAGTGCAGCCCCAGAGAAAAGCTTCACTAATTTTAGGTTCAGGGGGTCTAGATCTAGATCTAGTCTGGAATCAAATACAATAGTCAATAGACGCCTTTTATCCCTTCTCGTAGGCTACTCTAAAAGAATACAATTAGACTACTAGATTCTAGATCTCTAGACTCCCAAAGTCAAAGACTAGATCTAGAACTAGATCTAGATCTTACCTAGGAGTGTAACTGTGGTGTGGCGGAAATTGCTGGAAATTCTTCATGCTTATGGCTTAAAACTTTCTGCGACTGAAACAACCGGAAAAACAAAATGTCAGTTGAGGAAATGAAGGGTAGTAAGAACAATTCCAATTCGGCTGCAGCCCGGAGAAAACTTGTTCATCAAGACACGGCAAATGACACGGATGTACCTATATCTGCAGTGAGTGAGACTGAAGCCAACAACGGTCTGAGCAAAGACATTGTCACGGACGCCATAGTGCGGCACAAAGCTTTCCGATGGTGCCAGGACTCTATCGGAGGCGCATGGACGCAGGTGACGTCGGAGGACGATCTCACCATCGCTCCGATCAGGTAGGCTGGTTTGTCTGTCTTTCCTTCCTGGTTACTGTAGTACTCTTATATTGTGTTTGTTGAGGTGGTTGCTCGTTATAGAAGTCCTTCCAATAATATAATATCATAATAAAAATTTATTATAAAAATAGTAAGTAAGTAAGTGATATAAAACCTATTAACCAGGAGAGTATTGAATTTATGTTTTTTTCAAACCATTTTCTCAACCAGTCCTTTCGGAGTTGGATGTTTTATTTAATTAAACTCGGAGGTCCCACCTCTTAAATCGTTTTAAATTAATTAAAAAACCCTTACTTTACCATTTCACCATTTTCTCAGCGGAGGGATGTCCAACTACCTGTATCTGGTAACCCTGCCAGCGAGGATCAAACCGCTGGGGGACGAGCCGACGGAAGTCTTGCTGCGCATCTACGGCCAGATCTCCAAGTCCACCCTGGACTTCCTGGTGCACAACTCGGTGGTGTTTGCCCTGCTGGCCGAGCGGAAGCTAGGACCCAAGCCGTACGGGATGTACCATGATGGGAGAATCGAGGAGTTTATCCAGGTGAGATGGGAGGATGGATGGAGTGGGGGGATGGAGGAGTTTATCCAGGTGAGATGGGAGGATGGAGGAGTTCATCCAGGAGATGGGAGGATGGAGGAGTTTATCCAGGTGAGTTTGGGAGGATGGAGGAGTGGGAGGATGGATGGAGGAGTTTATCCAGGTGAGATGGGAGGGAGGATGGAGTGGGGGGTATGAGGAGTTTATCCAGGTGAGAAGGGATGATGGAGAAGTTTATTTGTTTATAGTGAGATGGGAGGATGGAGGAGTTTATCCAGGTGAGATGGGAGGATGGAGGAGTTTATTAGTTTATCCAGGTGAGATGGGAGGATGGAGGAGTTTATTCAGGTGAGATGAGAGGATTGAGGGTGAGAGGATGGAGGAGTTTATCCAGGTGAGATGGAAGGATGGATGGAGTTTATCCAGGTGAGATGGGAGGATGGATGGAGTGGGAGGATGGAAGAGTTTTTATCCAGGTGAGATGGGAGGATGGATGGAGTTTATCCAGGTGAGATGGGAGGATGGATGGAGAGGGAGGATGGAGGAGTTTATCCAGGTGAGATGGGAGGATGGAGGAGTTTATTAGTTTATCCAGGTGAGATGGGAGGATGGAGGAGTTTATTCAGGTGAGATGAGAGGATTGAGGGTGAGAGGATGGAGGAGTTTATCCAGGTGAGATGGAAGGATGGATGGAGTTTATCCAGGTGAGATGGGAGGATGGATGGAGTGGGAGGATGGAAGAGTTTTTATCCAGGTGAGATGGGAGGATGGATGGAGTTTATCCAGGTGAGATGGGAGGATGGATGGAGAGGGAGGATGGAGGAGTTTATCCAGGTGAGATGGGAGGATGGAGGAGTTTATTAGTTTATCCAGGTGAGATGGGAGGATGGAGGAGTTTATTCAGGTGAGATGAGAGGATTGAGGGTG